TCTCTGTGTGTGTGTGTGTGTGTGTGTGTGTGTGTGTGTGTTTGTGTGTGTGTGTGTGTGTTTCATTTATGGCACTGTGTATTCAGTAACCTCACTGCAGTTGATACGAATGAATTTCTATATCTCCCTGTGTTTGCTTTCTTGGATATAATATATCGTTTACTGCGGGTCGGTGACTGTAATTCCGATGTCAGTGGGTGGCTATGGCCACTTAGCATTATTTCCGCCTTTTTAGAACGTTTGTCTGGTGCAGATATTCAAAGTTATTTAAGTCTCTACCAATTGTTCTTGATGCCTTTCTGATCAGCTTGTTCATTTTTATGATGTACTGTCTTCCCAGGTTGCTACCATAGCAAGAAATACCCAAATATATCAAAGTTTCTATTGTGACGGTGTAGAACATCTGAAGGATTGATGGATTCAGATTGAAGAACCTTAATTTCCTCAGAAAGTAAAGTCCTTGATTTATCTCCTTAACGGGGATGTGAATGAGGATTTTTCTAGAGATTTGACTTTCTTTCAATTTTTAAAGGTGGTGTAGCTTGATTATAGACTAATTAGAAGAATTATGACGTAAATGTTTTAGTTTTATTAAAAAGTTGGTCTCCATGGCAGCCATCTTGGATTTTTTGCTATGTTGCAGGGACAGGCGTTTTCCACAGAAAATATTGGAATTTAAGCGTCAAACCTGACACACAAATACACAAACCTAGTATCTGTGATCCTGTGCGGGGATTTTTTTTCTGTCAAGAAAATTTTCAAAAATATTCATATATCACCGAACGACTTCTGAATAAAAACGAGTATTGTGACAAAATATCGTGTACATTTTAAAAAGTAATCCATATTTCGCAAAATGCTCACATGGGATCACAAAACAAACTACATGGTATCTTTGCGCCACAATAGAAACTTTGATATATTTTGTCCCCGCGTGGTCACCATAGTGAAAAAGTAGTTTTTGAGAAAAACTTTTTTTTTAAACCCACCGATTTGACAACGTCAAAGTTCGAAAACCATATTTTTTAAACAATAAATTTTATATTTCTAAAAGGTTGGTCCATTCTCTAACATGACTACCTTCATGGGGGGGGGGGGG